TGCCTCCCAAGTGGAAGGCCTGAGCTGGGGGCAGGCCAAGCTCAGCCATAGAGAACGCACTGTCCTGGGGCGCTCTGATGTTTGGACTCTGCCTGTGGCCAGGCCTACAGGTCTGGCCTCGCTCAGTTTTGGTATCTCTTCATGGATGCCTTAGGTGGTACCAGGGGGGTCAGAATTCTTCCTGGAGTTAACCCAGATTTCCATGAGATCCTTCTTGAAAGAAGTGGTGCCAGAAATAATTCCTGGAGGTAAAGTTGTAGTTTTTTATATCCTTCCTGTCCAGGTCTTCCTCTCATAGGCAGTAGAAACATCCTTGAGGACTGAGTGAGCTGTAAGTGATCTCAACCATCCCTCTACTCCCTCTCACAAGTGTCCTGCCCCTACTCCAGAGAGCAGCGGCCCTCTGTCTGTCTCCTAAGAAGCAGACGGCATGGCCCTGTGTTGCTGCCTAGCACCTCATTCCACCCAGAGACGTTCTTCCCATCTCGCTTCAGTTCTGTGGGCTGTAATGGAAGGTTTTCTTCCATGTGAGACAAAACAGTTGGTTTATGGACACCTCGATCTGCTGTTCAAACTGAGCTGCTTCGAGCTGCTCTCAGGAATCTGCCAGCTCTACAAACACTCTTAAAGTTTGCACTTTCACTTACGCGATCATCCCAAAATAGATAAAATTTCAATTCTAAAGACTAAACTTTCACAGTGATAACTGACAACTAAAGACGTTTTATGGAGTGACTAGGCAGGGTACGAGGTCAGCATTGCAAATGCGGTCCAGGGGTTGGGGCTCTGTGGCTGTATCCTACAAGAACATTTTTTCTTTATGAAGGAGCTGAACAGTACTCACCTTTTTTTTTTTTTTTTTTTTTTTGAGAGGTTTTTGCTATAGGGCGTGTGCGCTCGCCAGACAGACAGAGAGAGACAGAGAGACAGAAAGCGAGAAATCACCCCCCAGGGGGGATGGTCACGCCGCAGTCCCTTCTCTTCCATTCTCCTCTTGGGATCTTGGGCACGCATGCACACGCGCCCGGCGTGAGTTTAAGCCGCCGGGTCCAGGACTCGAACCGCGGTCGACTATGTGGGAGTCTAGTGACATAGCCATTATGCCAACTGCTGGTCCCAACAGTACTCACCTTTGAAAGCATCTAATCTCTATATTAGTAATCTCAATGCCGTTCTCAGACGTTGCTAGCTTTTGACAAGGTTTTTGTTAGTCTGTAAGGAAATAAAAAAGTGACAGTCCTCGATGTATCCACATGATATGCACATAAAGCACGTGTATGCCACTTTTTGGAGAAATGTTGAGCTGGCCCATCCTCCATTGACTTGCCATACAAAGATACAAAGTAGGGTTAGGGAGGAGTAGACCTCTTGCTGGAACAGAACTGAGACCACTGCAAGCAGGGAGTTGTCTGGTCATTTCTCCCAGCCTTTGAGGGCCTGTAACAGCTAATGCATTGGTCTGACCTGACCCCTAGTGGCAGGAGAGGAGCACCAGGCTGCAGATGTCCTTGGCAATGTTGCCTAAGCTGCATAGTGCCGTGGATAGTGGATGGAACCCAGCAAGGGCCTGGGTAGAATCTCCAGCCTTGGGCATCTCCGTTCCCTTCTTGTCTTCCTGACATAGGAAGCTGTGGTATCAGGTGGCTCCATTCCCTGGGAGGTCTATGGACAGAGAACTCAGGCCCTCGTGCTTGGCCCTGGATTGGCGCTGTGGTCTATAGAGTGAAGATGTCAGCTCTGGCGTGTGCTTGCCTTGCTAGAGGGATGGAAGACCCTGTACTGGGACTCAGAGCACTCCCAACTAGGAGCCATCTCAGCAGGCAATAATCAGGCATCCTTGTTGCTAAAGACCCTGCCTTTGTCACCTCCCTGGTTCAGATAGGAATGCCACCCTCTCCCCCCTGCACTCATCTCCTTGCATTGTGTCCCTTAAGTTGAGTTTGTTAGATTGAAATGCACAAAATCCACTTGTAAGGAGGCAAGAGGGAATGATTGGCAGGGGAGAGAATTGCTCCCTCTCTGACACTGACTGGTGCTCAAACCCCCAGCTGAAAGAAGTGACATGAGCAGTTCACAAGAAAGTGATGCCATTTCTCTCTTCTCATTTTCCCAGAGGAGAACTTATTCCTGGGTAAGCAGTGAGGTGTGCCGAGGCTGGGAGACCATGGTGACAGGGGGTGGGGTGATGGAACCAGAGATGAGGAGCTGGGAAGGGAGCAAACTGAGGACAGCAAGACAGTCATGAGGAATGGTGGAGTAGATTGATCTAAGACCCCAAAGCCTTGCGGTGGTACGATTTCAGCTCAGTGAACAGAAGAGCTCTCCACAGATCAGGCTGCCCACCACTTGAATGGAGCAGTGAGCAACCTGATCCTGGGAGACCCGAGCAGAGAGAGACAGGCTTTGTGAGGGACACGCAAGGGTCTGATAGGCAGTCCAGGGCGTCCTTGGAGCCCTCCTGATGCTGAAGCGAAGTCTTCACGTGCTTGTCCTCACTCATTTCCCCCTTCCCACAGCACTGCCCTCTTTGCTCAACTTCGCCCTTTACTGACACTTCTGCCCAGTTTGAGGTGCATGCTTCTACCCAGCTCTGCATTAGATTGAAACACAAAACACTTTAGACCAGGTTACTGGGCAGTGTTGTCCAAAGCGAGCATTATTTTAGGGCTTAGAGGCAGCTATCACCTCTCTCTCCTTCCACTGGAGGAGGAGAGCTGACCTTGAGTGAACAGGTCTTATGCCAGGTGTTGGGCACATGCTGTCTAGTGACATCCTCATGGCAAAGACCATCGCCCCTTTGTAAAAAGGGATGAGGCTCACGGAGCCATGGGAAGAACCCGGAATCAGCCCCTTCCTGTTGCCAGGAGTGGCCGATTGTCCCCACACAGCCCTGAGATTCCCTTTAAGCCCACAGTCTCCTCAGACTTAGCTCTGACACCAGCACCAAGAGTCTTTGAAGAGTTGGTGTCCTCTCTGACGTCAGCCTTAGAGATTTTTTTTTTTTTTGAGGGGGTCCTTGAAACTTTCTGGTGTCTAACTATCCTTAGTTCATCAACCTGTTGAACTGTATTTTAAATCTGGACCATTTATTGGGGACAAAGAGACTCTTTCTTTTCTTTTTCTTTTTTCCTAGTTTTGCTATAGGGCACATGTGCTTGCCAGAGAGAAAAAAAGTGGGAAAATGAGAAACCACCCCTTAGAGAGGATGATCATGCCACGTTCCTTTCTCCTCCATTCTCCTCTTGGGATTTTGGGTCTGCACACACATGCATCTAGTGTATTTTTCAAGTGATCAGGTCTGGGACTTGAACCGCATAATCGGCCACATGGGATCCAGCTGCCTTAACTTCCACACCACCTGCTGTCCCAGAAACCCTTTCATCTGGAGCCCAGGGTCCTGGGTTTGGGTTTTGGCTTCATCTCTTGTCCCCGTGAGGCCTTGGATGGTCCTCTGCCTTTCAAGACCTTTTTTACCCCATACTTACCCTCTCCATGTCTCACAGTTGTGAGGATTCAATAAGATCACGTCTGTGCAGCCCAGCAGACCAGGTGCCATCACATGGGGCTGATTCCCACATCGAATGCTGGCTGAGAAAGGCGGTGAAGAGTACCCTAAACATGAATGATTGGTTCGAAAGGCCCTTGTTCTGATGGTAGTAGTGGAGGTGACACACGAGGGCACCCAGGTACATAAAGGCGCGGAGGTTGATGGAATATCTGACTCATCTGACGAGCCTGGCTGTTCATCCAAGGACGCCCCGGTGTGCTGCCGCTTCTTCCCTGCCTTGGTTTTCCACAGAGACCACGACTTCATGATGCTTGGGTGATGGAGTGAACAGAGCTGGCTGCAGGAAAACTGTTGCTAGGTGACTGTGTTCTGTCCTGTAGGGGAGAGGACGATTTCTCCCAAGGGGCATCTTTGACTCATCGGAGAGAGGCTAAATACCAGGGGTACAAGGCTGGTAAGCTCTGTGCCCTGTTCTTGGTCACTCATTTTGGTGGCTGTTGTTTACAAATGACTCTCCCTAGTTGGCTCCCTTGTCAGGATTGACAAACAAACAGGATGGGGTCCCTGGTCATTGTCCAATCTGGAGAATTTCCAGCCTTGAGAGATGCCAGGGAGACCTGCTATTTGGATTGGGAGTCATATTCATCCTTTTTTCCTGGGACCACTGTGATGTGAACTGAGCTCTGACTTGGATAGCTCCAGGGAGGAGGCCATTCCTTCTTCCCCGGGAGACCATCTGCAGGTTGCACATGTGCACGTGGGTATGACTGCAGGCAGGAGGGAGCGGGGCTCACACCTCAGTCCTGTTGCACCGACTGTAGGCAGGAGGGAGCGGGGCTCACACCTCAGTCCTGCTGCACCAGTTTTCTGAAGCCGGTGTTCTGAGCATACCCTACTTCTGCTGGCTCACTTCAGGAATAGGTAACTCACAAGGAATAGGTAACCAGCAGACCTGGCGATTCATGGCTCGGTTGGTTTTTGGCGTACAGGTTCTTTCCATCTGCCATTCCTGGCTTGTTAGCTTTGTTTCTCCCTCAGGGTTGGTCTCTCCTGGCCCCAAGATGACTGTTGTGGTTTCGGGTGCAGACGTGTCATGTCTCTTTTGGAAATCATTGAGGAAATCTTTTCTCTTAGTCCCCAGCAGACAGGCCTTGGTGTTCTGCTGGCAAGGGGATGGGTAAAATGACCGCCTTAGGCTGCTCGTGGCTTCCTGCTGTGCCCCAAGGAGGTGACATTGGACCAGACTCTGGCTCTGCCAGCAAGGAGTGTAGGGGGATGGCACTCAAGTGTGAGCAGCTACTGATATCCACCCCGCTGGGAGTCCTTGCCCTTGGGGCCCCCAGGCAGGGGCAGCTAATTACTGCAGAGGGAGCAGCCCCACAGGCCCTGGGTTGTTTTGTTTGTTTGTTTGTTTGTTTGTTTGTTTTTAAGCATTGCTCCAACTTTAGGAATAAGTCTTGGAAACTCCTTGGAGGCAGAAGCTGTGTTTTATAGTTCTTTGACCTACTGCAATTCTCCCATTCTTGGCATACAGAAAGGACCCAATAAATGCCTACCGTTAACAGTAAGAGTAGCCATGTATATTGGATATGTAGGTTTTACTGGGCTCTCTCCCGAGAGCTTTATATGTATTCTCCCAGTAACCCCATGAGGTAGACATCTTCCATCCCATTTCACAGATAAGTCTCAGAGAAGCTAAGTAACCTGACCAGTGGTGCCCAGCTAATGGGTGGAGGAGCGGAGAGCCCAGATTTATGACTTTAAAACATTTGTGGAAAAACTTATTAATGTGTGAATTTATTTTGGTGCAAAATTAAAACAAACAAACAAAAAGGAAATCCACACATAGCTTTTTTCATAATACATATTTTCCATAAACTTTTTGAAGATCCGTTATAAATCCTGGCAGTGCAACCCTAAGCCTTTCATATCTTAAGCCTTTCATACCTTTGACCACTGCACTGCATTGCCACCCAGCTGTGTTACTGAGGGACTGGATGGATGATCAAAGGGAAGTGATGTAAGGAAAGAACATCCCCTTCCTAAACATCTCACATCATCTTTGAATGCCTCCAAAGCCAGAGACTATCACTTAGGGGTAGCCAGCATTCTCAGGCCCTCACTATTACCTCTCCCCTTTGGTTGCATCCAGAGCAATGCAGCCCCGTAGAGCAGTCCGAAGGGGTGGTTGTCACTGTCCAGGCCATCCCTACTATAAGCTCAGCATCCTTGGTTTGTAGCTGTTCTCATCCTTTGCATGTACTGTGACAAACCCCTGTCTGTCATGGTTGTCCCCCGTTAGATACTTCATTGTTTTCCAATGTGCCCCTTGCTCTTTGGTGGCCCTAAGTGGGCTCAGGCTCTGTATGGGCTGAGTAGCTCCATGGCCCCGAGACCCTGCACCTGTCCCTAGCCCATTGTGCATCTCTGTCAGCAGCCATGCCAGCCCGACCTGTAACGGCAGTGTGTCTTAAGCTCTGCAGAAAGGAGGGATGGCTGAGTGCATGGCTCCATGCAGGGAGGACTAAGCACTCCTCCCAGGGCTTCATCAGATATTCTCCAAGGTGCACAACGCAACTTGGGGATGGCAGCAGCAGGATAGTCAGTGTAGAAGTACGGAAGGAAGCTTAGTTTTCTGAAAAAGAGTCAGTTTGAGGTCAGGCACCTGACTGTTTAATCCCCACCGTGATCCTGTGTGGGTCATATTCCCTTCTTATAGGTAAGGAAGCTATAGCTTAGTGAGGTTGGTAACTGGCGCAGGGTCATGCATGTGTGGTGAGCTCCGAGCTCTAAGGCTCACTTCCCTGCCTATAAGATGAGGATAACATCCTTTGTCTACCTCGTGAAGGAGACAGGGCCCCCAGGCTCCTCCTTTCCAATGCTCTGCCTTGCCCTACCCATGCCCAGGGCATGGGATAGAACTGGGAAAATGATCCGTAAATTGTAGTGACTGTAATGTGGCCTCCACTACTCTGTGTGTGTATGTATGTGTGTGTGTGTGTGTGTGTGTGTGCACATGTGTGTGCAGTTGCCCAGGTCTATGTGTGCAGACCCCACAGAAAAGGGAGGTCATCTGTAAGAGCTGGTTACTGATTCTCAAGGCCTTGTCACCCTGCCCCCATCTCCTGCAGCGGGCCATCCGTGTACGCAGCCACTCCATGGAGACCATGGTGGGCAGCCAGAAGAAGCAGCACAGTGGGGGCATCCCTGGCAGCCTCAGCGGGGGCATTTCCCACAACAGCGTGGAGGTCACCAAGACTACCTTCTCGGTGAGTGCTGGCAGGCCTGGGGCAGCATGTGGGGCCCAGGGAGGGTCCCCCAGACCTGTGAAGGAAGGGGTGAAGTGACAAGAGCAGGGCAAGTTGAATGATACAGGGAGAGTAAGACTTCTGGGGAGGTGAGGTGATCCCAGCCTCAGCCCTCTGAAAAGGGTCCCTTGGAGTCTCCCTCCCAGGTGGTACCAGGGTTAGTTGGACTAGAACTAGAACTCCTGTTCAGTTCTGTGAGTTTTCTTGACAGCTGGGCTTCCTTCTTGGGGCCAATCCTGCAAAATGGTCCTGGGGTGTGTTTCTGTGTCCAGGGGCTTGGGTCCTATGATTAGCAGAGAGATGTCCTTGCATTGCTAATTATTATTACTATCATTTTTTAAAAAAATTATTTATTTAATCCCATTTGTTATTATTTATTTAATTTGATTGAGACAGAGAGAGAGAAGAGAAAGGGGAAGCAAGAAAGCAAGCTGCCAGGTCCAGGACTTGAACCACGGTCAGCCATGTGGGAGTCCAGCACCTTTAACTACCACACCAACTGCTGGCCTCACTATTATGTTTTTAAGGTTTTTGCCTTAGGATGTTTGCACTTTCCAGAGAGGCAGAGACAGTGAGAGGAAAAGTGAGAAATCACCCCCCAAGGAAGATGGCCATGCCACAATTCCTTCTCCTCCATTCTCTTCCTGGGATTTTGGGCACACATGGCCAGTGTGATTTTCAAGACACCAGGTCTGGGGCTTGAACTGTGGTCAGTCACGTGGGAGTTAGCACCTTAACCATCATGTACCTGCTGACCCCGCATTGTTAATTATTAATGGTAGCAGTAGCCACCCCAGCTTGCTGTGCCTTAGACACTGAGCTAAGTAATCCACAGATGTGATCTCACCTGACCCGTATAACAGCTGCCTAAGGTAGGTCCTGATGTGCTCTTCATTCTATATTTGAGGAAAAGGAGGCCCAGAGGGGTTAAGTGACTTGCTAAAAAGTCACTCAGCTAAGCTGGAGAGCTGGAATTTGGATATAGTGTCGCCTGACCCAAGATCTATGGTCTTCATCACTATATATGCAGTTCCCAAGGAAAGACGGCCCTGCAGATCTGTGAGCTCAGGCTTGGTTGACTTGCATTAGGAGCTGGGAATGTTAGGGAACCACATAGCCAGTCTTTCCTACTTATTTATTTATTTATTGCCAGAAGGTGCATGTGCTTGCCAAAGAGATAGAAAACACTCCCTAACAGGGTGTGCTGCAATCCCTTCTCCAGTTCTCCATTCTACTGGGGTTTTGGGCACCCGTGCGCATATGCTCAACATGTTTTTCAAGCTGCCAAGGCTGGGATTTGAACCATGATCAACCACGTGGGATCTGGTTTGCTTAATACTAGGCCATGGAGCCAGCCCTAGCCAGTCCTTTTATAAAACAGAGCTTGAGATTTGCATAGGATTTTCTTTTTACTGTAGGGCATGTGCGCTTGCCAGAAAGAGAGAGACAGAGAGATAGAAAGCGAGAAATCACCCCACAGGGGGGTTGGCCATGGGAATTCAGCGACATAGCCATTATGCTAACTGCTGGTCCCAGGATTTTCTTTTTAAAAATAGAACAGACCCTCTATGATACTAATGATTAGTATTATAAATGGCCTCATGTAATTAATTAGATTTACCAACTATTTTCATCATTGTTATCTTGTTCCTTCTAGAAAGTCCATGAATTGAGTAGAGCAGAGCAATTATCTCCATTCTGCGGATGAGAAGACTGAGGTTCAGAGACCATTTCCCCAGGGTTACATAGTACATGAATGGCAGAAGTTGGAGCCTGGGCTAGAGGCCTGGCAGGCTTTTAAGATTGACTTCAACCTCCCATCTTTCTTTTCTCAAACTCCCACAATTCCATTGACAGCCCTCTATGTCTCCCCCCACCCCCAAACCCCTGCATTTTGAGCCATGGCAACTGCCTTCTTGGCTGCCTCCCCACTGCCTGTTGGGCAACCTGGTCTGGGTTCTGGTGCTGTCTTGCTATGCGTCACCTGCAGGATCTATTTATTTACAAGCAATGGATGGAGAGTTAAGAGCCTGGGTTCTTGTTATCCTGCCCGTGATTTGCTAGATGACCTTGGTGAAATTCTCTTCCTCTCTGGTCCTCAGCTTTCTCATCTGTAAAACAAGAGGTTGACCCTGGGCCATGGAAGGACTCTTAGCTTCGTGATTCTCAGTCTGTGACCCTGCGTCATCCTGACCTTTTCAATATGTGGGGCTCCCATTCTGGTGGTCCTGATTCCGTGGTCCTCCAGGACTTCTGCTCTTGGGAGGTCACTACCTGGGGCCACAGGCTTGGCTTAACAAGACAATGGCAGAGACTGGGAGTGCTTAAGTCTTGGGTCTCATTTCCTGTTACATAGATCCCAAGCTTCCTTGCTGTCTTGCTGTTGCCCGGCCCACCTCCAGACCAGGAGCCATTTGTGGAGCAGGCAGGGGGCTGAAGGGAAGGAGATCTGGGTTGGGGTGTGCACACTCATTTTGGCAGTTTCATTGGCAGCCTCCAGTGGCAGCGGCAGCGGCAACAGCGAAGAACCAGTCTCGGAGCCCCATCAAGCGGCGATCAGGGCTCTTCCCTCGCCTGCACACGGGTTCTGAAGGCCAGGGGGACGGCCGGACACGATGGTAATTGTCGGGACCCCTCCACTCCAGCCAGACTGAGGTCTGTTAGCTCTCTCCATCTCTACAGCTGCTTTCGGGTCGTTGGAAAAGTCATGATGCATTTTTGCATAGAAAACCAGAAAATATGTCATGACTTTTCTGACAACCCAATAGATGCCCAACCCTGAGGAGAGTGTTGCTCTGCTCAGGGAGATGGCTTTCCTCTAATCCTGGCCTCCACTTTAGACACCTACACATCTCCTGTCACTCATTCAGCTCTTTATCCACTGAGGCCAGCTTGGCCAGTCTCTGCAGGGGCTTACAGCATTTTGACCCAGCTAGAAACATTGCTTGCATTCTTCTTTCTTTGCCTTCTTTTTCAGTGTGCACTGAAATGTCCCCACTTATGGTTGCCATCTTTGATCCCACCAGGCAGAGTTAATGGAGCCTTCCTATGGACTTCTAGAATGTGCTCTGCTTTTTTTTTTTTTAAATACAGCAACTCTCATATTACACACATTTAACCTGCTCTTGCTAGTTGTCTTTCTGATCTTTTTTTTTTTTTTTTTTTTTTTTTGAGAGGTTTTTGCTACAGGGCACGTGCGCTCACCAGACAGAGAGAGAGACAGAGAGACAGAAAGCAAGAAATCACCCCCTGGGGGGTATGGCCACGCCACAATCCCTTCTCCTCCATTCTCCTCTTGGGATTTTGGGCATGCGTGCACACGCGCCTGGCGAGTTTAAGCCACCGGATCCGGGACTCGAACCGCGGTCGACTACGTGGGAGTCCAGTGACATAGCTATTATGCTAACTGCTGGTCCCTCTTTCTGATCTTTAATTGGTGATTCCGCTTGTTCTTTAATTCAGCCAGCAGTATTTACTGAGTGGCTGCTGTGTGCCAGCCACAGTGCTGAGTGCTTAGACACATGGTACAAAAGACACAGACCTGCCCTCTGGAAGCTTTTAGCCTTGAGGGGGAAAGGGAGGCATTCATTTTGACTCCCATGTTCCCATGTTGTCTGCCTTTATCCCTGGGTGGCACTGTCCCCTAAGCTAAGACTTATAGGACCAGGGTGGATGTACGGAGAAGGATGAAAAGCTCTGCTTGGAAACTGCGTATGTGTCTTTATGGACCAATTGTAGAGCTGTCCAGGGAATGGTAAACTTTATGCATCTTGAGATTTAAGAGCGTTTTTCTTTTTTATTTTGCCATAGGGTACGTACATTTGCTGGAGAGAAACAGAAAGTTAGAGAGGTGGAAAATGATAAATCATACCCCAGAGGGGATGACCACATTGCACTTCTTTCTCCTCTACTCTCTTCCTGGAATTTGGGGCACATACACACATGTGCTCGGCATGATTTTCAAGCTGCCAGGTCCAGGACTCGAACCAAGTTAGCCATGTGGAAGTCTAGCACTTTAACCACTATGCCACCTGCTGGCCCCAGAAGAGAGGTCTTGACAGGAGATACTGGGAATAGAGGTGGGGGTTAGACTAATGAGTGTGAGAGGGTATGTAGAGCACCAGCATTTATGGCACATGGAGAGTGAGTGAAGAAGAAAAGGTGAGCAAGGAGGAGGACAGCCTGGAGAGGGTGAGGTCTCCAAATCCAGCAGGAGAGAAATCTAGGAGGGACATCCATGTTGGTCGTGCACAGTGACCCAAGCCCCTGTGTGAGTTGATGATTTAGGAGGGCATTAGCAACTTCATCAAAAGTGCACACAAGGGAACCAGCAGTTAGCGTAATGGCTATGTCACTGGACTCCCCCATAGTCGACCGCAGTTTGTGTCCCAGACCCAGTGGCTTAAAACTCACACCGGGCGTGTGTGCGTGCGTGCGCAAGATCCCAAGAGGAGAATGGAGGAGAAGGGATTGTGGCGTGACCATCCCCCCTGAGGGGTGATTGCTCGCTTTCTGTCTCTAATGTCTCTCTCTGTCTGTCTGGCGAGCGCACGCGCCCTATAGCAAAAATCTCTCTCAAAAAAAAAAAGTGCACACAAGTACTTCCCATCTCTAGAATAGCCGTATGCAAATAGACAAATAATAACGAAATTAACGAAGATGTGGAGAAGTTAGAACCCTTATTGCTGGTGGGAATGCAAAATGGTGCATTGGAAAACAGCCTGGTAGTTCTCAGACAGCTAAACAGGGCTTCATATAACCCAGCAATTCTCCTCTTGGGTATATACACAAGGGGATTGAAAACAATGGTTTATAAAAATACTGGTAAGCTTGTATGACTAGCACATAGACGTTCATGGCAGGATTATTCATGACAATCCAAAGTAGAAGCAACCCAAATGTTCACCACTGTAAAAAATGATGAAAAGTGGCCTACCCATAAGATAGAATATTATTTTATAATAAAAAGGGCTGAAGTATCGATGCATTTTGCAACATGGATAGACTTGGAAGACAGTCAGCTTAAGTGAGAGGAGCCAGACCAAAAAAACCACAACATATTGTATGATGTCATTTGTAGAAAATCTCCCAAATCGGCAAATCCATAGAGACAGAAAGAAGATTAGTGGTTGCCAGGGGGTGGGGAGAGGAAGGAATAGGAAGTGATTACAAACCCTGGATCCAGGGTTTCTTTTCAGAGTGCCAAGACTGTTCTAAAATTAGATTGTGGTGATGGTGTGAATATACTAAAAACCACTGAACTGTACACTTTAAATAGGTGAGTTGTATGTTATGTGAATTATATCTCAATTACATTGTTATATAAAAAGTGTGTGTTGAGGATAGGGCTGTCATTTCCCCATTAGCCAACACAGTCAACAGTGGACATCAGACAAGGTCTTCACTCAGCTGCAGGAGAAGACAACTCGGCCTTGTCAGCTGAGAGTAGCCATTCGTTTCTCAGAACCTAGGGCCACCTTGTCACACAGAGCCAGGGAACCCATATTGCAGTCTGTGTCCACTGGAGGATGTCCCTGGGGTTATACAGTGTGTGTAAGGGCCCTTCTGGCCTCTCCCAAGAGTCCCCACATACTGTGTGGGATGGATACCCCGGACCCCAGTCCGTTTCCTGTGGCCCTCTCTTGACCTGTAGCTCTGCCAGGTTGAGGGAGCTGCCAGCTTAGGGGAGAGGGAGGCTTGGCTAGAAGCCACCACACCAGGACTCCTGCTTGGTATCCCTGGACTCTCACCCATGAACCTGGAGCAGCAGTTTCAGTGGTGCTCAAGGGAGAAAGGATGTGTTGGTGCCCATGCTTCGGTAGGGAGTGCTCTGACTCTGCAGGGTCCCCGGGCTGACTGGCAGAGGCTCCGTGTGGGGCAGATGGGGGTTGGGGGGCTGGCTCCATCACCTCACTTTTCATTCCTATTCCCTCAGTGACAGTGCATCCAGCAACCCCAAGACCCCGGATGGTGGACACTCTTCTCAGGAGATAAAGTCTGAGACCTCCTCCAATCCCAGCTCTCCGGAAATCTGCCCCAACAAAGAGAAGTAAGAGAGTGAGGGTGAGGGAAAGACTGGTTTTAGCCATTCAGAGCCCTGACCCATGCTCTCTGCCTCCAGGCAGGGTGAGAGTGACCATCTCCTGCCCCAGGAACTCTGAAACATGAGGGCTAACAGGCAGGGGATGGGGAGCTGCTGATGGGCAAGCTCAGATCTCCTCTAGACCTGCCTGCTCAGCTGCGGGGCCCCGGGGTGGAGGTCTCATCTGTGACCAGGTCCCACCTTGCTTCCTGTCCCCTGCAGGCCTTTCATAAAGTTGAAGGAGAATGGCCGCGCCAACATCTCCCGCTCCTCCTCCAGCACCAGCAGCTTCAGCAGCACCGCAGGGGAGGGCGAGGCCATGGAGGAGTGTGACAGCGGGGTAGGTGTACCTGGATGGCCTTGGGAGGGCACTCTGGGGCCCAGCCAGCCACGTGCCACTTTGGGCGGAGCCCCTCTTCAGTCTGTTCAGATAGAAGGGAAGTTTCCTTACTTACTCTAGGAAACTAGAGATGGCCTGGAAGCAGTGGTTGGGGTGGCGGGTGCATCTCTCTCAGAGTGACAGCAGCAGAGGGACAGACGCCAGACTGAGTGGAGCTCTGTCATGGGGTTCCTGGCTGGAGAGGTGAGGGTCAGTGTTTAGCTGGATCAGAGGCCCTTCTTGGAGTGGGAGAATTTGGAGCAGGGGTGAAGGCATCAGGAAGGAAAAAGGAGGTCTGAGCAGGGAGTGGGAGGCAGTAGCTGTCCTGGACTATTTCAGGCCTGCCTGGGCATGGGCTACCTGAGGGTAGGCTGGCCTCACTCCCCCAGCCTCTCTCCCCAGAGCAGCCAGCCATCCACAACCTCGCCCTTCAAGCAGGAGGTGTTTGTCTACAGCCCGTCCCCAAGCAGCGAGAGTCCCAGCCTGGGAGCAGCCGCCACCCCCATCATCATGAGCCGGAGTCCCACAGGTCAGTGGCATCTAGGGGTTTGTGCCATGGGGCTGGGGCCACTGCTCCAAGGCGTGCGCACCAGGCAGGCCAAGCTGGCTGGTTTCTGCTCCTGCTCCAACACCCTATAACTCTGCTGGTCATTGCATTCGTCAGCCTTCCCAGGCCTGTGTTCTTATCCTCTCCTTACCTACGGGGAAACTGAGGCTCAGGGAGTTGAATGATTTGCTGGAGACCCCATAGTGGAGGAGTTGGAGATTGTGAGATTAGGAAGCTGAACTTCGGCCTACCACCCAGCTGCTGTGGCGTAGCTGTAACATAAATGCCCTCCAGGGCTGGAAGCCATGCAGTTGATTGTGGGTTCAGATCTCCTGGTCAGCCTGAAGTCATGCCAGGTTTGTACTGCGTGTGGGCGTCCAAAATTCCGAGGCACTGGAAGACTAGAGAAAGGGACTGAAGGCATGATGAGACCCTGTCGAGACTGCTTCTCTCTTTCTCTGTTTCTCTCTTGTGTGTGTACATGCACTCTCTGTCATTAAAAACAAAACCAAACCAAACCCGAGCACTTTCCACTGACCTTTCCCTCCACTCCATCAGCGACCCAGGGCCTCTGTCACGGAGAGCATCTGAATACAAGGCTAAGAGGTGAGAGAGGGCTGCAGGCAGAGGGAACAGCGCGTGGAAAGGCCTAGAGGGAATGAGGGTCGGGAGTCCTGAGCCCACACGTGGTTTAGTATGGCTGGAGGTTGTGGTGGGGAGGATTGGGAGAGGAGAGAGGTTAGAGCACCCACAGGCTGGGGTCACCAGGGAGCCCTGGTGTGGCTATTGGTGTTATCCTCTCAGCAGTGGAAGCTGCCAGGCCCTAAGTCTCTGAAGTTTCTTTAAGTAGAGAAGCACCACCTGGAGTTGAGAAAGACCATTTTGTGGGCTGCAGTGCTAAGTATGGGTGAGAGAAGCATGGGGCAGGAGCAGGGAGGGAGAGCAGTGAGGGCTCATGGGGCGATGAGAAGGGGTGGCACCGTGGAAGAAGGACATGGAGTCAAGAGATGTCAAGGAGGTGAAATCTACCAGACTCTACGGGGGTCTGGGGGGTCTTGGAGTCCAGGCCTGTTGGGGTTCTGTGACCCCTGCATCAGGCAGAGCAGTAACAAGCCTGCTCTGGGGCGAGGGTGAAGGGCCGGTGCCTGAGGACCATCTAGGTGGACCTGTGTGATGGGCACTGGTGGGTGGACAGCCTTGGTCCCCGCCCTTGAGGAGGACAGCATAGTGTGGGCAAGTGCAGGACGAGAGCCCGGGTCCAGTCCCAGGATTGAGTGATGTGACACTGGGCCAGTTAATGACATGATGTTGGGCAAGTTACTGAGCCTTTCTGGGCCTCAGTTTCTCCAAACAATGAAAGGAGAGGAATAGGGTTGGTTGTGTGAAGACTGAACAAACGCTTATGGTTGTCAGAAATGTAGAATTTTTTAACCTGTTTATCAAGTAACTGGAATAAGACAGTGGTGTGGTCAGTGGTTCTCAGCTGGGGCAGTCTCGCGCTTCAGGGACTCGGCAATGTCTGGTGACATTTTTGATTTTCATGGTCGTGGGAGGGTGGTGCTGCTGGCATCTAGTGAGTAGAGCAAAAACTTTTCCAGCCTATTTTCAATAGGTGGAGAAAGTCTGCTCTAAATGAAAGAAACACAGAAAGGCCAGAGGGCTGTTGGGGTGGTTTAAGTCAGAGTGCTACTGGGGTTCTCATGTGGAGGGCTTCCGGCAAAGAGGGTGCAGAGAGATCATGGTGAACGCGGAGGATCCTTTCTGTTACGGCTTCCCGGCTGCCAGAGCAGTTCACGTGGCTCCTCTTACTCATTGCCTGTAGTTGGGCAGGTCTGGAGCTAATTTTGGCTGTGGCATGGATGGGCCCACCTCGCTGAGCCTCAGTTCCTTCATCTGTAAAATGGAGTAACAATACAAATTCCCTGATGTTGGTTTTTTTTTGGGGGGGGGGAGAGGTTTTTGCTGTAGGGCACATGCACTTGCCAGAAAAACAGAGAGAGACAGAGACAGAAAGTGAGAAATCACCCCCAGGGGGGATGGCCACGCCACAATCCCTTCTCCTCTGTTCTCCTCTCATGATCTTGGGCACACATGCACGTGAGCCCAGCATGAGTTTAAGCCACCAGGTCCAGGACTCGAACCACAGTGGACTACATGGGAGTCCAGAGACATAGCCATTACTCCAACTGCTGGTTCCTCCCTGATGTTTTTAAAATAAAGCTTAACTCAATATTGAAGTAATGAATAAAAGAATCTGTAACCGAACTGGGCTCCCACTTGGTGGTAAATATCTGTCTGTCTGTCTGTCTGTCTGTCTATCTATATTGAGGTAAGACAGAGTCTCACCATGTTGATCCTCCCAACTCAGCTTCCCAGCTGGGACTACAGGCGTGTACCCCCACAGCTGGCTTTTTTTCCAGAGTCTTGCTATGTTGCCCAGGCCAGCCTTGAGCTTGTCATCTTTTGCCTTCTCAGCCTCCCCAAGTTATGGAATTAAAGGCACACACTACTACGCCCAGCCTTTAGGTTCTTTATGTTGAACTGGGACTAGAACCCAGGTCTCCCATAGGTCCCAGCCTATGGAGTACAGCTTCTTCGCAGAGTGTAAGCCACTGTGGTTCTACCAGGTTTTGAGTAAAGGAGGGTCTGCAGAATGTCTGCAACTTGCTGAAGGTCACCCAGTATAGAAGGGGACCTGGAACAGGCCTGGTAATCTAGCCCATGCTTGTCACATCATAGGGTGCCACATCGGGGTATCCTTTAGGTAGTATTAAACCCTGGCAAGCTGCATCCACCCCCATGCAGGTTGTGCTAGGTACCCAAAGGGTTGGGGTGGGCTTGGGGAGATCCAGAAACCTGTCTTGAGCTGTTCAGCTGGGTTTGAGAAGAGACTGGGCTGAAGGCAAGGAGTTGGCCTGGGAGGGCCCGACATCATCTACCCATTGACCATTTCACATGTGGGCTCTGGGTCCAGAAGGGATCGACTGGCAGGGTTACACGGAGTGGCATGCAGTGCTGGGAAGAACACAACACATTTCCAGTTTAATCTACATTGTTCTTTTCTCTATTAGTTTCTTAAGTCTAGACAACACAACCATACATCAAGCCCTGATTGGTAGCATTTGCCAGTTTCTGTGGTGTAAATATTCCTATCGTGGCTGAACATAAGCTACCAATGCGATGTCCCTGAAGTATGAAGAGATGCTCGTAGCTACCTTCATTGGGTGTTCCTGCCACACAGATACAATAGATGTAAGAGCATACAGAATAGGAATGCATAGCAAAATAACTAGGAAGTGATGAGTTTTGAGTATTCATTAGCTTTGTTGAATATAATTTATTTAATTGTAAGCTTATGTAATTCAGTATATATTTTAAAGACATTTTTGCCTTAGGGCACATGTGCCCTAAGAGAGAGACAGAGACAGTGAGAGGAAGAGTGATAAATACCCCCCCCCCCCCCCAGGGGGAAGGGCACGCGCTCAGGCCCCTGGGGGAATGGCCATGCTGCAGTCCCTTCTTCTCCTGGGATCTTAGGCATGCATGCACATGCGCTGGGTGTGAGTTTCAAGTCACCAGGCCCGGGACATGAACTGTGGTTGGCCATGTGGGAGTCCAGTGATGTAACCATTATGCCATCTGTTGGCTCCTTCAGTATTTTTTAGTGGCTTGTGTTTAGCAACTAGTTCACAACATTTTAAAAAATGTAAGAGTAGGGACCAGCAGGTGGCGTGGTGGTTAAGATGCTGGACACTCCCACATGGCCAACCACGGTTCGAGTCCCGGACCTGGTGGCTTCCTTTATCCCTTTCTCTCTCTCTCTCTGTGTGTCTCTCTCCTCAAATTAAAATAAATGAATGAATAAATAAAATTAAATAAATAATAATTTTAAAAAATGTAAGAGTAGGCTCTGATGAATCAGTACATGTCAACAGAGTACCTGTGATCTTTACAGACCCAGTGATCTTTACAGTTCTGCCATGTTTTCATGGACATTCTTCTTTGTCTTAGATGCCAAAAGCAGAAATTCCCCGAGATCAAACCTGAAGTTCCGCTTTGATAAGCTCAGCCATGCCAGTTCTAGTGCGGTAAGGCTACGGGGGTATCTGGGGTGTTGGGGCAGCAGGGGAGTGGCCTCCCATATCCCACATTCCACTCTCCTCCAAAAGCCAGCCTTCTTTCCTGCAGGCTGAGGGGAAAGGGAGCCTCAGATAGCACCTGAGGATCTGGGAAAAGGCAGAGGAAGGAAAGCTCCATTCAGATCTGGGAGGTGCGGGGTGGGAGATGCGGTCTGTCCCCACCAGTGCAGACAGTAGCCTTTATCACACTCCCCTCGTTAGAGCAACCACCTCAGGCATAGTCGTGCCCAGATGTGATGTGAGCTATTGGCTTCTGGGGCCCCACGCCCCTTCCTGAGCTCACCAGATTGTGAGAGCTGAGTGCACAGAAGCTGCCTCTGGAGGGGGTTATGTTGTCTGGGTATGTAAAACTCTTGTGTGGATTTTCCTTGAAACAGGGTCACTAATGTGAAAGAGGAGTCCTTCGCCTGTTCAAGGTGGGTCAAGGGAGTGTTTGTCCTGCTGTGACCAAGAGGGGGCAAGTGTGTTCCTTCAAGACCAGGGAATTAGTAGCTTTAACCTGAGAATGGCCAGAGAGGTCCTGACAGCTGAGGAGGTCCCTGGAGCCTTTGGGATGGGGCTTCTCCAGGTGGGGAGGAGGGGGAAGTGGCCTTGGGTGTGGATGGGAAGAGTTGCCTGAGGGCTGGGGCAGACCCACTGAGTGCAGCTTCCTGGATCCCTGTCGAGTCTGGCTCCAGTGGGCAGAAGGGTGGTAGCCCAGGGCCATTCCCTCCCTGCAGGGAGAAGCTCCTCAGTTTGTCCCTTGCTTCCCTGCTGTCAGGCAGCTTTTCCCTCCATGTGGCCAAGGGACATGCCCTCCCTCTGTGCTGAGAGACACCCCCATGCAGTAAACCCTGAGAGGGTCAGGGCTCTGCTTGGGAGGCCTCTGCTCCTAGTCTCAGCGGTGGGGGGGTGGAGGGGGAGGGCATGGGTGTGGCTTGCTGGCTTTAAGGGCCGAATTCCTGCCCTGAAGTCATCAAAGACCATCTGCATCCCAGGCCTCCCCCTACAGAGCTCTCTCAGGGGTATGAGTCACAGTTGGAGCCAAGGGGAGGGGTCCAGGTGAGCCCACTTTATGTTAAACCTGATTTATGAAAAAACAGGAGAGCAGGGGAATGCCAACATTCACCCCCACAGGTACTCGGTTCACGGCTGGCTTCAGGCTCTATCCAGCTGGGCCCCCTCCTCGTCCTGTACTGGGGGCTATGGCCCTGGGCTCGTGTGTTTCCTACCTCCCTCCGAGGTCTACACCCACAGCATTTGTATTCTTCCTTCCTTCTTTGACCAAATGTTTGGTCATCATTTTCCTCCTTGTCTCCCACAGAGAGGCACCGCTTCTGTGCTGGAGAAGGCTCCTGTTCCAGCAGTTCGGGGGTGCCATCCACTACTCTGTCACAGTCCTGCTGCCTCACCGGCCACCTGCCCACCGGACCAGCTGTCTGTCCATGTCCCAGCCCAGCCACAGCCCGGCCCTTTACCAACACATCTTGAGAGCACCGCCCCATCCCTGGACAAGGCCTCCTTCCTCGAGGCTCCCTTTGTAACTGACTTCGCCATGTGATGTCTATCTGGTCATGTATCATCTTATTTTGTCTGTAGTGGAAGAAAGTTGGGGAAAGGGGATTTAGGAGCCAGGATCTCAGCCAGACGCAGGGAGCTCATCTGCCTCAGAGGGCATGGTGGGTGGGAAGCAGGGTCCCCGACAGAATATGTACCCTGGTAAGGGGCTGGCAAAGGCAGGCTCTGTCTGCCCTTGGTCACAGTGCAGTGCCTTCCTGGATGTGGTGGGCAAGAGGCTTTACCACTACCAACGCATTCGGTGGAGGTGGAGGGACTGCTTTTCCAGAGCCGGAATTCGTAGCATCCTCGAGGCCACCCTGAGGAAAATTGGCTCTCTTGCTCCTGCATCTCCGGAGCTCCAATGTCTATCTGCTTCTGCACTAAGAACTTCTCACCCATCTGCTGACAAAGGCCCAGGGCTGCCTTCGTCCCGATGCCTGTGCACGTCCAGTGGGGCTCTGCCGGTTGAAGCTCGGAGACAGCTGGGTGTGACCAGGACTGGGTGCCATGCACTTCCTTGACTGTAGCCAGAGCTTTTGTCCTGCCTTTTCACACAGTCTCCTGATTATTGCTTTTGTGGGAGAAGCCCCATGGCAATTGCTCCCCATTGAGCAGATGGTTTCCTCATGAAGGGGTGGGCAGCCAGGCGTGAGAAGGAATTCAGGGAATGCAAAGGAGCCAGCACTGGGGTTTTCCTTAGCTGAGCAGCATCAGGACCTGAGGGCTAGGCTGGCATCCAGGACTCCCCTTGTCGTGGAGGCTCAGGGAAGACATGGTTATTTCACCCCCCCTGAAGTGAGGGGGAGAGCTGGGGTGGGGATGGCCTGATGGCCTGGCAGGTTCTCCTCAGGCCAACCTATGGGGAGGAGCCCAGCGTCCCACGGCGGTCGATGTCCCGGGCATTTCGGGGTATCGAGCCCTGCTGTGGAGATTGTTCCCACAACTGTGCCCTTCTGTCATGTCTGCGGTTTTGATCTCTGAGCCCTGCTCTTCCCCTTTCTGAGTATGGGCCTATAAGCAGTTGTCACATCTGTGGGATTCCTGCACCTGGGCCGCATCTCATGTGGGTCAGACACTGTGTGCCACCTGCACCCTCTGCCAGAGCCACCTTCTCTGGGATGAGCCAGCTCGCTCTGAGGAACAGCTGACTCCCACCTGGCTCCCCACCCATCCATGTCTGCAGTATGAGAGGGTATATATGCTGATTGGTCCTGGGTGGGTTGAAAGTGGGGCGTTCTTTAAATAAAATGTAGAGTCTGAAGAGCAGACCCTCAGAGGGGCTGCAGCTTCACATGCAGATGGGGCCTCTGGCACGTGGTGGCAGAAGGCTGCCAGAGTGACACTGGCTGGGTTCCTGCTTTAATGAGCAGATGACGAGGATTTCCAACCAACTTCTTCATTTGCATAGGGACCTGGACCCACTCCCACGTCAAAGTGTATGACTGTTACGCTATTTTTGACTGATGTGATAATTTCCCATTGCTTCTGCCATTAGAGCTAAGTTCTGATCCTTCGTCTCCTGCTCATGTGGAAATTGTGGGATCCTATTTGCAGGCTGGTTAGACTTCTCCCCTCACACTATTTGGCAAATGCGCTTATGTAAAGTACTAGTCTGGTAAAATGTATTCCAGTTAGAGAAGGTCAACAAAATATCAGTGTAGCTTTTATTAAAAGTCACTGTAGCAGCACCCACTACTGGAAGGAGGCCTGTGGATTCTGGCCCTGTTTTGTTGACTGGGTTTCCGAGGGTACTTGAAAGGTCAAACTGCGTTTCTTTAAAAAAGTCTTACAGGGTAAGACTGTCCATCCGGGTAGCTAGCATGTGTGGCTGCTTGGTGATTGTACTGTATCGTGTTGTGGTCTGCAGTTTCCGGGTTGTCCTCATGTTATCCTATTTGGGAACCTCATACCCTCTATCCCCACTACTCTTTCCGCTCCCTGCAGCCTCCTACCTCCTGAGAGGGCTCTGCTCCTCCTCTGAGCCTGTGGGCAGGATGGCTGGGGTGTCCAGAGGACCTGAGAGGCACACATACCCTCTAAAACATGCAGACCTAAGACATGGTCTCCACCCTTGTTTTGCTGTTGGGGTGCTCTGGGTGGGCTCTGCAGTTCCCTCACTCTGTGTCATCCTCACCATCCCTAGAAAGTCTGTCTATAGCTTCCAGAGTGTCCACCACTAGCCCACCCCAGGCCCCAGCACTGAGAGGGAGGAGGAGCATAGATGCAGGACCCCTTTCCCCTCCCTCCTCTGGGCTATGGGGCAGGCAGCTCGGGGTCCTGGAGGTCTGTTTGCCCCACACTCTATATCTGCTCTGACCCAACATGTCTTTCCTTTTATTGCTGCGCCCAGTCTTGGGGCTCAAAGAACTGCTCGAGCCTCATTGGCCCTAGTTACTAGACTCATCTAGATGGTGCTCATGCTGATATTTGAGGAATTTCACTGTGACCTTCAGGAAGGGTGTTTCCCGGACACGTTTCTGGCTCTGGGGACTGTGTGACTCACTGAAGAAATTGTATGTGTTGGGTACCCATATGCCTCCAGCTCAGTGGATACTTAAAAACAGATGCAGAAAGGCTAGAGATAGAAAACCTTAGCTAGAGTTTCTGTCTGTGCTCAAGGATGTAAAATGGTGTTTCTTGAAAAATATTCTGTGGTTTAGTTTTGTGGGCATCGTCTCAATGCCCACGCTTTCTGGCCCCTTGTAGCATTTCACCCAATCATGCCATCATCCAGATGAGAAACCTTAGGCCCAGGGTGGGGAAATGACTTGCTTGAGGTCACACAGCCAGGTAGCAGCAAGACTGGGATTGGAACTCACCACCTTTGTGTGGTGGTTGGATAAATGGCTGCATTTCCTGGGCCCTGGGTTTTGCTGGTGTCTCAGCACTGGCTGGGAGCTGTCACCAGTCAAGGATGTTGGTGGAGCCTCGGTTGCTGCATTTTCCATCAGGTGGGTGGGAAATATTCTCTTGGATTTTTCAGCCCTGGGATTTCGGCTGTGGCTGGAGCAAAGAAAACAAGGAGAAAAAAAGGGTTCTGGTGAACCGACCGCCAGTGACCGGTTTTTCAACTACCATCTGTAGTGGAGGTGGGGGCCAGGGCAAAGACGATACCAATCCTCGGCATCCTGTTTTCGAAATTAAGAAGAAAACTCATCCCTTCTCCCTGAGTGTTACGCAAAGCTGGTTAATGGAAGCGTAGGCTCACGTGAAGAGGCAGGACGAGTGCTCAGTTCACTTTCTTCCCCTGAGCCTTTCAGGTGCCAATTCAAACACTACCCTTTTCATTCATTTCTAAGTCAATAGAGACAGCTCTGTTGTGGGGGTTCAAGGAGGTCTCATAGCTACAAGTAGCCAGCAGGGACCAGGCCAACCTGGCCTGCTTAGGCCCCCATGGCTCCGCCCCCAGCCTCTAGCTACCCGTTAAGAAAGGCGAGGGCAGGTCCATCGAGTTTGCCAAGGCTGTCTCTGCAGCCTGATGGGAGACTCGGGAGGGCATTCTTCTACCAAGCTCTGGTATGTTTTACCACTAGCCCCTTGCCCACTCCATCCCCCGGTCTTGCCCATTTCAGCTGGGTCACGGGCCCATTTGGGAGGAATACAACCCCTGCTAGGGCCAAGGGCAGCAGAGCCCCGCCTGGTGAGAGGCTGTTGGGGCAGTGGCTCTGTTCTGTGCCTTACCAGCCCTGGGGAGATGGTGTTTGGCTGGAAGACTGGAATTTGATTGCCATTGTCTTTGATTTTGTGACATTTCTGCTTGGAAGGGTGAAACCCCCTTTCTGATCCTTAGCATGTGTGCCAACTCTCCCTTGTCATGGGTGTCCCCCTCTGACACCCCAGCTGGGGGAGTGCTGACATTTCAGTGTGAAGAGATTCCCTCGTGTGATAGAACCTAAGTAAGAACTGTAGCTTGGACGTGGTGGTCCATGTGATGATTTTTCTTTCTTTCCTCTTAGGGAGGAGATTGTAGACCCCTGACTGCCTATGTAATGTAAATAGTGTACATTTAATTTATTGCTATGGTAGCATATTGTATTTGTTAATGTATAAAACAAATTCTAAAAGGTTGACAAATGTATATTTTGTTGCTTAAATGTGTCTTTGCAGAAATTGACAATAAATAACATATTTTGTGTCCATCAGTGTTTATACTTCTTCACTTAGGGCCCAGGGCCTGGGTATCACTTTTGTAGTTCACTGGAGGCTCGCTGGTTTTAGGTGTGTTACTTTGGTTTGAAAAAATGTTTAAAATATTTTGAATTAGTTATTGATATTTTAAAAAACTGACCACCACAGATAAAAACAGAGCTGGAATTTCACATAACATCTTAATTTTCTGCTTAAAAATCAGATGCTAAGGGGCCAGCAGGTAGTATGAAGGTTAAGGAGCTGGATTGCATAAGGCCGACTCTGTGATTCAAATTCTGGACCTGGTGTCTTGAAAATCACGCCAGATGCATGTGCATGTATACCCAAAATCCCGAGAGGAGGAGAGGGGATTGTGGTAGGGTCAGCCCCCCTGGGAAGTGATTTCTCACATTCTCTTACTCTGTGTCTCTCTCTGGAGAGTGCTTGTGCCTTATAATAAAACTTAAAAAAGTAAAAAATCAGATGCTGAATCTGCTCCCCAGGCACGACTTGGTTAGCTCACTGGAGTCTGGTCCGTTTGGATGGGTCCTGAGTACCCCACAGTTTCCACTATTCCCTATTGTTAACATTTGGAATATTTTACTCTGTCCTGTTACTCACTCGGCCTGTGTAGGCATCTGAGTTCGAAATTCCCACTATTCACCGATTTGTCATTCTCCTGCAATTTTCTCACTTCTGCCCACTTTCTTTCTCAAATTCTTGATTCACTTCTTCAAGGATTTTTTTCATGACTAAATGCTCTTTCTTCCTATCCTCCTTTGAGTACTAAGTGGCCATGTTCTTACACATCCTTTGCTTTACAATGTTTGCTCATAGATTTAGAAATATTATCTGTATCCTTTTCTTCTTAAGAAAATCCAAGGGAAAGAAAAAGACTAAGTATCTGCTGAGGCTTGACTTTGTGATCTTAGGCAAATAGCTTAGCTTCCTGTGATTCGCATTTCCAGTTAAGTATGTGAACAATTCTCCCCATACAAAGCATGGGGATAAAGATAAATTCATAATTGGGAAAGAGCTTTGAAAAAAAAGGGCAAGTGTTAGTGAAGCACAAAGGTTCAGTAATAATAACAATAGCAACAGCTGACATTTATTGAAAGCCTAACATATGTTAAGACTTTTACATACGTGGTCACGTTTTCTTGAATGCAACACACTAGTTCCTAAGAATACACCACTATGTGAAGTTGTGTAACTATAAGACTTACACAGAAAATGGAGTTAGAGGACATAATACTCAAAAACTTTGTCAGTGACACATAAAAATAAAAAAATAAAAAAACAGGAACTTGGGGCCAGCAGTTGACGTGGTGGTTAAGACTGCAGTTTGAGTCCTGGACCTGGCAGCTTGCTTTCTCATTTTCCCTCTCTCTCTGGTGAATGCATGTTCCCAAAAGCAAATTAAAAAGCAATAATAGTTGGACAAGGAGATGGCATAATGGTTACGTCGCTGGACTCCCCTGTGTTTGCTGGTGGTTTGAGTCCTGGACCTGGTGGCTTGAAACTCACTTGGGGTATGTGTGTGTGCGTGTCCATAAACCCGAGAGGAGAATGGAGGAGAAGGGATTGTGGTGTGGCCATTTCCCCCCCCCCCAGGGGTGACTTCTCACTTTCTGTCTCTCTATCTCTGCCTGTCTCTCTGGTGAGGGCACATGCCCTTTAGCAAAACTCTCTCTCTAAAATAAAGCAATAATAAATAGTATAAATGAAAGTAAGGAATTGTTTAAAAAAATAGGAATATAACAAAAATGGTAGCACAAATTTGCATGTGTTAAGTAATTAAGAAATATATAACTACTATAGTAAGTAAGGCTTTTTAGCTTGAAAACGACCTGAAGTTTGCTTATGGAAGTAATTGTTGGCCAGGTTGCCATTTCTGAATGACTATAAAGAGGCAGAAGGAGAAGTTTTCTGAAACTGGTAATAACCAGGTGTGGCCCATAACACACATGGTATATTGGAGTCGCTGGCAAGTGTTGAGGGGTGTGTGTATGTGGTTGTGTTCTTTTTAAAAATATATTTATTTTTATTGTTTTAATTGACACACAATAACTATACATATTTATGGGGCACAGAGGTTTTTTTTTTTTTCTATGAGAATACAATACAATGTGTAATGATCAAATAAGGATAATTAACATATCTGTTGTCTCAACTATTTGAATTGGGAACATTGGAAATCCTCTCTTTTAGCTATTTCGAAATAACAAAATCAACCATTGTTAACTATAGTTACTCTACTATGCTATAGAACACTAGAGCTAATTTCTCTTACCTAACTGTAATTTTATATCCGTTAACCAATATCTCCTTATCTTTTTTCATCACCCCCCACTCTTCCTAGCCTCTAGCGACCACTTCTACTCTCTAGTCTATGTAGCTGTGTTCTTATACAGTTCAATTTACCCGAGTGCAACTTTCTGTTGCCCAATATTTCTCAGAGGTGAGTTGTGTAATCAAAAGTACAGAGCACACCGTACTCAAATTATTCCCTAAGATAGCAATTGCATTGGACCCAATTCTCATTGTGAAAGCAAGAACTGACCGTATTCTCTCAGTCACCCAAACAACTCTTTAAGGCATGTGCTATTAACCCCCAACTCACCTAAGAATCAAATTTCAGTTTGAGACCCACATTTGTTAAGCTGACTTCAACTGCAGGCAAGTTCCAGACTGCTGGGCATTCAGGAAGCCCAGGCATGTACCGGGGAAGTGCATCCCAGCCCTCTTTGGTTTCCCCGCCTGTCCTGGAGCTGTGTCTGCAGCATCTGCCATCACACCCAAGTTATGTGGCACCTTCCATGAGCCCTTGGTTTCAGGCTTCCTGTTTCTCAGAGTTTTCGACTCTATCCGTAGAGTCTCCATGGCTGCAAGTCTTTCACAGGAACATCTCACGCCTGTCTGCATCTCATGGTTTGGCTGCTGCTTATGTTCAATCCTGCCTGAAGCTGGGAGGTTACTTACATAGCAAGCCTTTGTAAAGGTTGGACGTTCCTCTCTGTGTGGGAAAGTGCTTTAGGAGGCATGGACATCATTCCGTTTGGGCCGGTTGCTCTCCTTCTAAACCTTCAAACCTTCCTAGGTCTCTGAAAGCTCACCAGTAGTTTAGTTCAAGGGTTCTCTTCCACTTAGAGGCTCCTCGAGGTTGAGGGCTTGAAATCTGCTTCCCCCACCTTAGTATATACTCACTTGAAGTAGTCATTGGACAGCTAAGGGGCGGCATTTTTCTGCCCACTAAGGAGAGACTTCCTGAGGAATTTGGCTGGACTATGCTCAGATTTTGTTAATCACATTTTTTTGGGGGTGCTTACTGGGTCCAAAGAGGTTACCTACCAGCTGTGTTCTAACTCTTTACCTTCTGAGTAGTTGGTTTCAATAATGATGTCACAGTTCAATTCTGCAACTTTGCTATAACTGTCAGTTATTAAACAATCCCAACTCAGCCTCAGTTCTGTTTGTTTTAAACTTCACATTCAATCCAAAGCCCTCTCCACCAACCCTTTGAGGGTAGACTGGCCTGATGGATTCAAGTGTCTTGGTTTGGGATGTGGCAAGGCTCCTCTGAGCACTGGTTTTGTCTAGACCATATTTTAACCAGGCTCCTCTGAACACTGGTTTTAACCAGGGAGCCACATTTTAACCAGGCTCCTCTGAGCACTGGTTCCCTCTAGACCATATCCTTGGCTTGCTGATCATGTTTTAGTAAAGAATCTTGCTGAACCAGTTTGAGAATCACCCTACCCTTGATATCCAATCAAGTTGCTCTTCTCCCACCCTTGATAACCTAACCTAGTTCCTCTTAGAACTTCCCTCCCACTTGTTCCTATTGTGTTCAGAGTTGAGGCCCATCTCTCGTCTATTGCAATAGTTTTGAGTAATGTCTTCCTTGCCTGTATAACTTGGTATACTTTTTTGGGGGGGCAAATAGCTGGTCTCCTCCATACTTCTATATCCATATTGGAGTGGGGGAGGAGAGAGCCAACAGAGACCTTTCATTTCAAGGCTGCCTCAGGAAAGAGCACTGAGTCACCTGGGAACTCTGAGTGGCATACACCATGATAAGAATAACAAATTTATTATGTGGTTATCTAGTGAGATAAACTGGGGAGGCAGAGGGAGAAGACTGGAGGAGTTGTCAAACAGATGTGGGCCTGAACCTGAGTGAAGGGGACATGGGCAGAAGGAAGAGAGGCCGAAGGGATCTTAGATGACGGTGTGGTTCTAAGAAGAGTTCAGTCAGGCCACCAGAGACCCTCTGGCCAAAGTTGTCTACCAGGAGAGTCCCACATATCTCTAGAATGAACCTAAATTTAGTAGGTGAGGTTTCAGTCCAAACCCAAGGCCTATGCACAGACTGATGGTGTAAGTCCCAACCTGTGACCAAAGGCCTGAAAATCAGGAATGCTGATGTGTGAGGGCAGGAGATGATGGATTTTCATAGAGTTCCAGCAGGGAGACTGAATTTACCTTTCCTGTGTGTTTTTGTTCCATTTAGGCCCTCAGTAGTTTGAACAATGTCCATCCAAGTTGGTGAGGATGTGTGTGAGTGAACTGAATAAATGCCATCCTTCATGCTCCTCAACTCTTCAGTGGTGTTGTCCTAAAGTCAGTAAGGACTACCCCCCACCCCCCACCAGCAGGAGTTCTGCTTGAGTTAAATTCTTATCCAGGGTCATTTAGACGCTCTAACAGAGGTGACAGCTCCAGTCCTTTGCCCTGAGCAATAGAGCAGTCATGCCTTCCTCACAGTAACTTGTTCCCCTGGGTCTTCAACAGTAGGGATGATCATGATCTTTGGTCTTTTAGCCCCAGAACATTTGCACCTTACTCCCAACTTTGTCCCTGTTATTTAGCTCCTTTAAAAGTTCCAGCTTGTTGGGAGCTAGCAGATGGCATGGTGGTTAAGGTGCTAGACTCTCACATGGCGAATTGTAGTTCAAGTCCCGGGCCTAGCAATGTGAAAATCATACTGGCACATATGTGTGTGCCCA